ATGATCAGCATAAGCTAACAAGGTATCATTAGTTGCCCATCTTTGTGTCCAAAACGAAGTGTTACCTCCGTTTCCCACTGCCATGTTGATGCCCTTTTTTAACACATCTATACTCCCCATTATACCTTTCCATACAATCGAGGCTCCTTATTTCTCTCTAAACACGTTCACATCACAACGGCCATCACAGTATTTGCTTCTCAACACTCTAGACCTTAAAGATTGGGGCTCCGCTAGAAGTCTCCACCCAAGCTTTGTCATGAAGACCGCATTTTATTGGCGCAGAGATCTCAATCCAATCCCACATTCTACCTTCGGTTTTGGGATGCTTTCCCAAGGAACCAAGTGGATCTTTCGTTCATTCTCAGCCTCACCCCACAGGAACATCCTTTTATCCACATCATTGGTCGAATCTAAATCTACCGCAAGTGTACGGGTCAATTACAGTAAATATAGGGTGAGCAAGGTATCGTATCCACAAGGAGGTCTATTCAATTACCAAGTTAAGGAACTAAAATATTATTTAGACGACGAAAATACGGGAAAAGTAGTACTAAACTATAAACGATTAAAGTTGCAAACTAATAAACGATAGACAATAATGAGAAGTAGTTCTAGGTTTCGGGTTTCGCCAATTACTCTCTATAATGAAATTAAACTAATTGCAGGGTTGAACATATATAAAGTAGCAATGATCGAATTACCAATAGTATGTAACCTCCTCTTCCAAGGTAGAAAACGTATATTTAAATCAACATTATGTCTACTTCCGTGATCACAACAATTGAAATAAATTCATCAAGAATAGGAATTCAATAAGACCACCCCAAGTGTATAACTATTCCTAAACTTGACGTTTGATAATCCCACGAACTAGTATTGAAATTTCACTTCCGCTAATAATCCAATACCTTAAACATACAATCAATTGGCCAGATTAAAAGTACGAATTAAAACAAGATTATCAAGTTGCAATTATATAAATCAAACCTAAACAAAGTAATTCAATTCATTGATAGATAATAAAGGACTACATCCCTAACCTAGAACAAACGAAATTAACTAGACATGGAAATCAAGAGAACACAATTAATTGATGAAGAATTAATATTAAACATATTAAATCAACCCAAAGTCAATCAGTTGCATAAAGTTTAAAGGAAGGAAACAAGAAAGATGCTCATTGCTTGATGTGTAATCGGGTTGCTGCACCAATCACGGCTCGCCGCAAAGCTGGTCGCCGGCTTAGTGACTGCTGGACTGCTTCCTCCTTCACGTCCCTTGCTTGCTGCGTCTCCGTGTGTGTAAGTGATACCCCCTTCTGCTGCGTGGCTGCTCTTCTATATCAATGAGCTTTTGTGAGGTTTTTTCTTGGATTTGCCTCTTGTTCCCGCTGCTACTCTCTATTGGGAGTTGTTTGAGTTAGTGGGTTTTCAACCCACTTTCATTCACTTGGTAAAATGTAGCTCGTGGAGCTTGTAGTGGGCCTTTCTTTATTTTCCTTTTCTTCTTTTCTCATAAATTCACCTGAGAGCATAATAAAAAGAATGGAAACTTGGTATTGCTTTTCAAAATATGTCATAATAACAGAATATTGGAGCATAATTAACTAAAAGTAATCTATTAAGCTTAACAAAGATAAATTCATAATAAGACATTAAAATCTTTGTAAACGCATAATTTGTACTCTAAAATAGAGTAAAAATGATATAATAAAGTATATAAAATATGAACTTATCAATCCTCACAAATCGAACGAGGTAATTTCATGGTTTGAATTGTATATGATGGGATTGGTAGAAGAGATGCTTGAATTAGAGTAGCTCTCCCTGCAAGTGAAAATGTTTTTGTCTTCCAACCCGCAAGTTTAGATTTAATCTTCTCATGCAGGTATTGATATTCTTGTTTCGAATTACGCCCATTAATAATCGGGAAAACCTAGATACATGCCCAGATCGTTGGATTCCTCCATACCCAGGCTTCGACATACACCATCTATAATATCCTCATTAGCATTGGTCGAGAAAAATACCCTTGATTTATCCACACTGACCTTGATGCTAGAAGCTGCTTTGAATTTATCTAAACACTCTTTCATGATCTCAGCTTGTCAATGGAATCTTCACAAAAAAGTATCAAATCATCGGCAATAGCAAAGTTTGAGATTAGTGGCCCATTTCTACTTGCACGAACAGGTTTCCAATTTCCCAACCTCACCTCAAAATCAATCAATTGGGCTAATCTTTCCATACAAATAACATACAAATAAGGGGACAAAAGGTCTCCTTGTCTTATTCCTCGAGAGGGGCAAAACACTTCGGTAGGATCACCATTCCACAAGAATTACAATTTGGCAGAATTAATGCATTTCATGATTATATCAACCATAAGTTGCGGAATTCTCATCTCCATCAACGATTCTCGAATAAAGTCCCACCTTAAGCGGTCATATGCTTTTTCAAAATCAATTTTCATCGCCATGTAAGCCCTTCCACTTTGTTTCCTTCGCATAGTAGGAATCATTTCTTGTACTATCACAATATTGTCCGTGATTTGGCGCTTAGGAACAAAACTACATTGAGTAGGTGAAATAAACAAGGGAAGGACCGGCTTAAGCCTATTTGATGTGTCCATTTTATATGGTATTTTACCCCCGTCCCTCGGTCATAATTAGTAGTGTTTTTGGCTCTTTAGAGCCACTTTTATTACTAATCGGTGTTTTCCAGTGTTTTCGTAGATTTGGTTGACTTTTACAGGGATTTATGCTTTTGGAGTATTTTCCCGAGATATTTTGGAGCAATCACGAACATTGGAGAAACACGACCACTTTTGGAGCCCAAGACCGGTGAGAGCCGGTGATTAAGGGCTCGGTAATCGAGATACTGAGGTTTGAACCGAGTATTCAAGACCCGAAGAGGAGATCCGGATTGCGCCGAGGAGTCGAGCCCAATCGGAAGTCCAAAGCCTCGAGGAGCCACAAGGGCCCGATCGGGCAAGATGCGCAGCAAGCCAAGGATGTGTGGCCCAGGGCGCGCCCGATCGTGCGAGGCTTAACACGATCGGGCGGTGCTGATGAGAAGAGTGTGCTAGCAAAAAGGCGGGCCCGATCGGGCGGCCCTATGCCCGATCGGGCGCGTGTTTTCCTAGGGTCTGATTAGTTTAGTTTTAATTCGTGTTTAAGGAAAGGTTTAAATACGATTTGTACGGAATTATTAGAGGGTTATCTCCTTCTCTCTTAGACTTTCTCTCTCTACTTAGTTTTCTCTCTCTTAATCTCTCTCTAAACCTTTGTTCTTATTTCTTTCATTAATTCCAGATTTATTTTGGTAACGATTTCTCTTCCTTTAATCTTATTTATTTTATTTCTTTCACCATGATTTATTTTATTACTTTGATTAGTTTAGTTTTTAATATGTGTGAGTAGTTTAATTTCTAGGGTTTATGGGGATCTAATAAATAATATGAAGGGGTAAATTATTGTTGTTGATTATCAATGCTAGATTAATTTCCTATTGATTGATTTAATGCTCTGTGACTAGATTAGGCCTATCTTTTATGCATGAGTTTGACAATATTGATTCAAGAATCGAGAGATGAGAATTAATGTTTAGGTCTAGTTTCAATAGGCAAGTTAATTTATAAATGGTTAAGTCAAGATTCGAGAGATGAGATTTAATACCGGTAAATTAATTGTGTGATTGTAATACGTAGCGAGAGCCCTTTACAATCTGGTTAATTGATGCATTGATGATTAACTATTATTGATTGTTGGAATTGCATGATGATTTCTTATTGGATTGTTTTAATGTTTTACAATTGCGGCTTGTAAAAGTATAGCAATATTAAATTGATGAATCGAGCAGAATTTAATTTGATATTAAAGGCTATTTTCAATAAGAACTTAGATCTAGTAAATTGCGAGAGCCTGTTAGATCTATGTTGATTAATAAATTGCGAGAGCCTGTTAATCATGTTATTTATGCGATGTCAATGATTGATTACTATATTTTACCCTGGAGTATTATTTATTGGTGAACCTATGCCCTAGATCCTTTTATATATTTTTTTATTCCTATTCTCAACCTTAGTAGTTTAGTTTCTTGCTTAATTATAAATATTGGTTACTTAAATAATTTAGATTATAATAATTAGTTAGGAGTAAAAAGACTTGTTTTCCTGTGGAGATCGACCCTACTTCTCTATCTACCTTAGTTAGTGATTTAGGTAATTATTTTTGATTAGGGGATACGACTTTACCCTGTCACTATTCACAATCACTTTCGTCACAATTTTATAAATGATTTTGCACAATCCTATAGGCCGAAATTTATTAGCACGCCGAGGAACATCCACCTTCGGGATAAGGACAAGGAATGCATCATAAAATCCATCTGGGAATTCCTTCCCCTCAAGAATATCACGCACTAGAGTAGTGACAATCGGCTGGACTAAACCCCAATATTTCTGATAAAAAAGCGGGTGAAAACTATCTGGCCCAATGGCTTTATACGCCTTCATCGACATTAAATCTTTCACAATTTCACAGTCAGGATATGGTCGAGTCAGAGTGCTCCAATCTGAAGCTTCAATGTTAGGAAAACAGTCCAACAAAAGATGATGGCCTGTAAACTCATGATTCTCTTCTTGAAAGAGTTGTTTCCAATACTCAACAACCAAGGCCTTCACTCCTTCAATTTCTGTAACCCACGTACCATCAGAATTTTGGAGAGTATTAATCCGGTTTCTCCTTCTCCTAATAATTGTGGATAAGTGGAAATATTTCGTATTGCGATCCCCATCACAAATAGCATCCATTATTGACTTTTGGAACCACAAAGTTTCCTCTTGATCAAGAATGTCATCAAGTTGCTTTCTCAAATCGGATTCAGTCTTAATTAAATGTGGATATCGACCTTTTGCAAGCTCTCTTTGAATCCCTGCCATCCTAGCCATCAACTCCTCTTTTTTCAAAAAATATTGTGAAAAACCTCACGGTTCCACTAGTTCAACTTTTCAGCAAAGGTTTTCAAAAAAGGGATAATAGGCATTTCATTGCGCCAATTTGCAAGGACAAATTCCTCAAATTTCTCATGGTGTAACCACGCCGCTTGGAACTGAAAAGGTTTCAAACTCGAGTTTATTAGAGCAAAGCCTGTCGTGCTTATCAGGATTGGGCAATGATCGGAAGCAGTACGAGGGAGATTACGCAAAGCTCCTTCTCCAAAACACAATCTCCATTCTTCATTGATTAAACCTCTATCAAGTCTAGATGATTTGAAAGTAGCAGAAGAGTTACCTCGATACCAAGTATGATTTGGGCCAGAGCATCCTATATCAATAAAGCCATCACTGTCAATCCAATTAGAAAATTCCGTACACCTCCGTTGCATCTCCGAACAACCATTTCCATTCCTTTCCGCCATACTAGTAGTGTCATTAAAGTCTCCAGCAATCAACCATGGACCATAACACAGGGTCTCTCCTCTTTTCTCAATCAAAACAGTAAGATGTTGTGTGTGATTGCCATAGGGGGTAACAGAAACTTCTTCGTTTCTCCAAAAAACCTAAATACCCCGCTAAAACCTTGAGCTTCCACCCTAGTCTGACCAGATAAATTAGTTTTCTCACAAATTTTGTCTGCTTCTTGGCCACTTATATGAGTTTCCACTTGTAGACACCCATTTTTGTCTCCCCAAAACCAAGCCCGATGATGAATATTTTTCACGTCAAATCATAATCGAATGAAGTGAAAGTGTGAAAAGTCTAGTGTTGTGGTTAGTTTTTAATTCTCTTCTTTCTCTCTGTTTTTGAAAACCTATTTTATGAAAATAGCCAATATAGATTACTTTGGTCCATGGCAAGGGTCCAATAATAGTGTAGTTGGATTGGGCTCGAAAAGAGCTTTCCAACGATATATTATAAGCCCAATTCCGATGAATAATGAGAAATTTATGGCCAAATAACTAAACTGGGTCCAGTTTGATTTTTATATGCGGCCCAATGATCTAGAGGAGAGCCTATTATGATTTATCATTCCTAATGCAATTAGGATTGATTATAGTCTTCTAGAATTTTCTAGAAGATTCTTTTGAATCCTAATGTGATTAGCATTGATAATTGAGTTTTAATAGGGATGTTAGTGGGGTGGGTCAAGTAGGAGACCCGCCCCAATGGGGCGGGGATGGATCTCGGTTTGGAGGGTGGTGGGGCGGGGATGGGGATAAAAACCATACCCGCCATGGGTGATAGGGCGGGGGTGATTTTTAAGTTGTACTCGCCCCATCCCCGCCCCGCCCCACTTCGTACCCGCCCCATCCCCACCTCATACCCACATCTATATATCTTTTTAAAGAAAAATTACATACTTTTATTCTATTTATAAAATAATTACATGAAATACAATATTAATTATAATACTTTGTACGACACTTATATTATAACACAAAAATATGTATAGAATGTTTTATTTATAATTCGTATTGATTATGTAAGATTGTGTGTTTGAGATACGGATATAAGGTGGATCTTGGCGGGGATTAGGCGGGTCTTTGGTGGGGATTAGGTGGGAATGAACATCCAAGTGGGGGTGGGGCGGGAATGGTTTTGGAGTTGTACCCGGTGGGGCAGGGATAGGGATGAAAATTGGATCCGCCGTGGGGATGGGGATGATAATATTAGGTGGGGATGGGGATGGGAAGGCAAACATCCGCCCCGCCCCGCCCCGCCCCGCCCCGCCCCATTGACATCCCTAAGTTTTAAGAGTTTTATTTAGAATAAAAGAAGTGTTTTTAAGGAAATTACCCTTCGTACGCTTAAATTTTATCAAAATATGAAAACGCGTGGAAAAGCTGACTGCAGCGCCACACTACAGGTTGTCCCCTGGCGACAGGCCTGGCGCTGCGGCGACACGTCTGTCGCTCGGCGACAGGCTCTGTCGTTTGGTGACAGGGGCGTGTGCGGCGACAGCGTCGTGTTTTATTTTTTTCGAAACTCTGATTCTTTTTTTTATCATAATCCGGCTGATTTTCGTTATAAATATTCTCCTTAAACCACCGTTTTCAATCACCAACTCTCATCAAGAATTTCTTGATTCTCTCACCCTCTTTCTAGCCTAGCCTTTTACAAACACAGTTCCTCACACATTAGATCTAGACACACCTAGCCAAGTTCGAAGTTGCCTTCGCCCTGGACGTGAAAGGTTTGATTTATGAGGGTTTGGTCCCAAATCTAGTTTAAACTTTCTTAATCTCTATTTCAATTATTTAATTTAATTGTTTTGATTTTATATTTTTCTTGAAGTTACTAACGCGTGTATTTTGTTATTAGAAAGAGATACGAGGCATCCAAGTAAGTGCTTTTAATTGTTTAATTGATATTATGATATAGAAATCATGCTTAGATTGTTATTTTGATTCCTAATATCATGTTAGGATGTTTTATTGCTTCCTAGTATCGTGTTTAGGGTAATTTCTAACATCAATTCTTTCCTAATAGCACGTTAGTATCATGTTAGGGCTAAATATTTTATCTTTAATGTTTAGTGACATGCTAGGGTTTATTATTAATCTTGTTAGTATCATGCCTAGGATCTTGCTATTATTATGCTTTGACATGATAATGATTATTTTTATGATTTATGATTTTTTTATGATTATTATTATGTTGCTTGATTATATATATTGTTATTTCTTGATCACGTCTTTTATGCATGTTTAAAGGGAATTGGTACTTGTATTCACGCTTAATAAGATAATTAATAATCTTGTTTAGGTTAATTTGATTATAATTCAAGTGATCGCCATAATAGTTTTGTTCGTGCATTAATATTCAACCAACATAGATAAACAGGTTTAGGGTAAACCTATTGATTGCATGTTAGTCAGAAAGCGCACATGAATACGAAAAGAATAAAGTAGAGGCCTATTATTAGGGCAGGTTTAATCTCTTTAAGATTGGATTTGTACCTTCATCCCCGAACTTCCAGTCTTGGTTCCAGACCTATTGGATTTAACGATCTCATGGATCGTTAAGGGGTGTAACCTTCACCCTGTGAACGGTTTACAAGTTCCTAAAACTTGTTGGCGACTCTTTTGCTCTAGCTTCCTTCCCTTTGGACGCCACCGTACTTTAGTGTATGATAACAGTGGGGTTCAAGTTTGGGGTAATGCTTGAAATATTTCCTACACCACTAAAGCCATCACAGTAGGACATCGATGTCATGAATTGCAACTAGCTTGTTACCAACTCCTTGTACATTCCACACTAGAACTTTTATGGACATATTAAACGTAGGGAAATTGGGGTAACAATCGTATACACTCAAAGGAGTGTTAGGCAGAATCCTCACGAACTCCTCTCCTAGAGCTCGCACTGGTCCAGCTGTCTCTAGGGGAGTTGGAATGTGGCCATCAAGTCCGGGGGGTTGTGCTCCGGAGGAAGGTAGGCCGTCACTTGCAATTCCACCTTGTTTGCCCCTGAGTGCACTAAAGCCATCATCGGACTGTCTATGAAGGTCTCGAACATTGGAGGTATCTTGACTTTGAGAGTGATTGGTACGTTCAGCATGATTCACAATCGCCTCACTTTGAGTCACAAAATTTTCCGAAACAAGGGAAACAGGGTTCTCACGCAGCTCCATAGGGGTAGAAGTTGCAATCTCAAACTAATTTTCTTTCCATACACTCGAATCTGAGTTATTTAAGGAAGTTTTTGGTTTTTGAGAATCTTTTTTTCTTAAAAACCTTATTTCCAGAAGGAGCTAATTTTTTATTATAGGGAGTAAGGGGAGTTCTAGGAATATTTTTATCCTTCTTTCCAATCAATGAGAACTTCTCCTTAGATAAATTATCTTTGTCTATCTTCAAATTAAGATTTCGATCCTTTTCAATATCTTTTCCATCTTTCAAAGATTTTCCTAGATCCACTGGTGAATCAGTCATATCAATATCCTCCTCATAAACTGAGTGCTTCCCATGGGCAGGGTTCCCTTTTTTCCAAACGTACCTCATCATCTCCAAGGCTAATTGCCGAACCTAATACATTAGTATCCTCTTCCTCTCTATTTCCAGTCTAATTCCTACTAAGCTCCTCTTCTGAACTAAAGAGTTCCCTTCTTGATAAGAACAACAAATCGAGAACCTCCAGCATTCTCCTTAGTACTATGTAAGCGTCGTTTGAAGTGCGCCTACGTTAAAGCATGTTGTGAATATGCTTGGCGTTCATAGGAAGTGGGAATTGACATTACGATTAGGGACAAGGAAAGTAGGGAGTCGCCAACAAGTTTTTAAGGAACTTGTAAACCGTTCATGGATCATAAAAGGCAGCCACGAATAAAGGGACAACGATAGGCAACAACGATTGACCCGTGAAGGTTACACCCCATTCATAATCCATGAGATTACTAACTCCATATGGTTCGGAACCACGAAAGGAGGATCGGGGATGATTCTACGAAGTGAGTCATGGAGTCAAATTCGCCCGTATTGGCCTCTACTCGATTCTTATAGTGAAAAGTGATTCCTGCGATCTCAAAGGCATACAAACAAAAATTCAATTTGCTTCAAACTATTATTAAGCTAAATTGGTTGAATATTAATGCAACACATAATTTTAAAATATTAGTGATCACTTGAATTAATAACAAGATTAAAAAGGAACCTAAACCGGTTGTTCAAATTATCTTATTAGGCGTGATTTTCAATTACATATTCCCTTTAAACATGAAATATGGTGATCATAATGATAATAGAAAAAACATTAATATTGGAACAATTTAACCATAATAATGTTAGTCAAATCAAATAATAATAATAATAACCTAATCATGATGCTAGAAATATAAAAATAAAATAAGAGTAATTAAATTAATTAATTAATTAATTAAAAAAATATAAATCAAATGAAAATTAAATTAAATAAATGTTGATTTAATTTGGTCCAAACCCTCAGTTATTGGTACCTTTCACGCCTTGGTTTAAGGACAGAACCTCGGATGTTGTATGGACTCCTTGGAGTGCTTAAGGAAGAATGGTATAATTAGGAATATAGGTTTAAGGCTTAGAATAAGAGAGAGAGAGAGAGAGAAGAGAATGATTTTTGGTGTAAAAGAGAGGAAGAGAGAAGGATTTGATGCCCCGAACTGCAGAAAGGAGGGGGGTATTTATACGGAAAATGAGTAGAGGGAACACACGGAACCCTAAAAAGATAAAAACCCTAAAAAAGTAACATCGCGACACGGCAGAGAACATCGTGCCACGGTGCCAGGCACCATCAGACGGGGCACACTCCCGTGACAAGGTGGAAAACAATGCGACGCGGGAAATAATTAAGGATCGGGAGAGAAAACGCGTGAAGGGCTTACGCGGAAAGAACACAGAGATGCCCCATGTCACAGAACAGGCACCGTGACACGACATTGTCCACC